TGGAACATTTTAAAGAAAACCTTATTAGGGCAAAATTTTGAATTATCAGAGCGTAGGTGCAACAAACGCTAAAGTGTAAATTTTGCAAATTCCTTATACATTTTTTTGCAGTAGATATTTTATTTGAAGTTGGTTTCACATTAAAATCTGAAATTCATATTTCCTGAAAATACCCATACTTACAGAAAAATTTATACGCAAAAAATATGTAGCGCTTTGCATCTATCGAAAAGCAAATATATATTTAAAAAGGCTGCTAATGCCTGTTTTTAAGGACTAAGTTTTTTTCTTTGCTGACTTGGTTCAGCTTATCGTCATTATGGCATACTGAATCTGTTACGTTCCATAATTAAAATTGTTCTTATGGTTTATTCATGCATTTTCTTGAAAAGAAAAAGTATTTAAATCAGTGTTTCCCAACCTTTCATGTACCATGCCCCAACTAAGCCTTTCAAAAATTCTTATGACCCCCTATGTAACATATACACAATTTTTAATATTAAAAAATTGAATTATTTACTTAAGAAAATTAAATGATTATTATATGATAAACTAATGATGATTTTAGGAAGAAATAACTAGAAAATTGTTAACAAAACGCAGTAAGTAAATTTTCAAAACATATAATGAAAAACTAAAATTCAAATTCGAAATAATTTTAATAAAGATTTTTCTGTAATAATTTAATATTTTAAATTAGCGAGATCCTTGCGCTTGATGCTTGCTGCACAAAGATTTTATGTTAGGTTCCAATTTGGTTAGCTTCAGCCTTAAGTCTCCCCGCAGTGTTACATCCGGACGATTTCTTTTTTTTTTCACCAGTAAATCATTTACAGCACTAAATCCACATTCTGCTAGATACGAAAATGGAAACGATAATAATAGTTCTCTTGCATATTTGGTTGAATTCATGTATTCGATTTCTATTTCCTCACAAAGCCATGACATCATTCCTTTTATGTTAAATAAAGTTTTAACTGACTCATCATTTTGCATTTCTGCGAGTTCTTCATGATACATTTCATGATGCATATTTGATATATCAGACATATTCACTAACATTGGCTGCATCATCCATGTTGAAAAATCAATTTGTTTTAAATCAGAAAATCTTTTTTTTTTTAAATCAGCCGATAGAATTTTCAGTTGATCGACAATAACAAGTAAAGCTATATCATTTACTTCACATTTTTGGAGCCAATGAAACTGTTCAAAGTTTTTGTTGTTAATATATTTCTGATATAACTCAATAAGGGTAATGAAACCAAACATCTTCGCTCTTGCATCAACAAGAGTTTTATTTGCTCCTTGAAGTTGCTTATTTAATATGTTTAGTTTTTCAGATATATCAGCTAAATAAGTCACAGATGCTTTACCATTCACTGTCAACTGATACTTCATTTCAGGTTTGTTGCTTAAAAAATCACTAAGAGTATCAAAAAGATCCATAAATCTTTTCAAGCTATTCCCTTTAAAGAGCCATCTTACTTCAGAGTGAATTAAAAGTCTCACATGGTCTGCATTTTGTTCTTCATAAAATAGCTTGAAAAGACGTTCACATTTGGCATTAGCTTTAATAGCATTGATACACTTTATTACTGAATGTAGTACTTAAATTAGAACAGGCGAGATGTTTTTAGGTACCCAGTTTTCCCAATGAATAACACAATGCACCAGAATCATTTCTGGATTCGCATCTTTCATCAATTTTAAGTAGGCATTTTTCTTGCCCATCATATCAGGAGTACCATGTGCAGCACTAGATGTTATATTTTTTTGGTATGTTATTAACATCTAAGTAGTTTTTTTAGCTTATTATATAATATCTTTGGATATAGTGCTGCTTTCTAATCTTTTACAAAACACCATTTCTTCAGCAAAATTCCCTAATCAATATATCTTACTTAAGTTATCAATAATGCCACACTGTCTATCAAAGTTGATTCATCCATTTGCAATAAGAATTTTCTTGTTTTTAGCTTTTAACAAGTAGTTTTTCAATATCCTCGCTCATTTCGTGTATTCTTCTGCTAACAGTATTGTTACTGAGTGGCATAGCTTTTACATCTTTGTCATCATTTTCAAGAACCGTTTTAAAAAAGCTGATATAGGCGGTTTATGCAATTCTCTCCTATAATATGGTTTCTTCCAGATTTAGCGATGAATAAAGAAATTTGATAACTAGCCTCAAGAATACGATTATGAGTTGAAGTGTGAGCAGTAAATAGAGACTTTACAGTTGTTCTCTTTTCAAAATATTTCTTTAAAGTTTGAAAGTAATAATTGCTATGAGTAATGAAAGTAATAATTGCTACCGAAACAAATGAGTAATTTAAACTGTATGTTAGAGCCTTTTTTGAAGAGCTCTGAAAAAGATCTACAAACTCATTTTGCAGTCATATTGCCCTAAAGACGATGCTAATAATTATTCATTTCTTAAAGTTGAAAGTTAAATTAGGAATAAAAGTTATTTGAGAAAAAATAAGCAACTCAAACTAACAAACTTCTTCCCATCTTTTAAAGCTAACAACATTTCATGGTATAAATTTGAATACAAACATTAACAAAAAGCATAATTGCGTAACTATTTAAAATGGCCATATCATTCATAATTGGTAAATTTGTTTTCAAGCATAATTAGTTATATGAGTAGGAATCATTTTTATTAACGCTAAATTTTAATCATCGGTCAGATTTTCATGAAGCCAATACAAGTTGTCTTTCCGTACCGAGAAAATTACACAAAAATTAAAATCGTTTGCGAAAAATCATGTACCTTCGATAACATTTTAAAGTCAATGAAGATAACCCATAAGAACGACCAACCTCTATTGACTGTCGTTTTATTGTGGAACAGAGAAGATACTAACCTTGGAGAGGAATGAAATCGAATGTTATTGTAATACTGTTTGAGAAGTTTGAAATATCAAATTCTTTAGATTGGGGTGATATGCAGATAAAGGATGAAGAAGGATTCATAGAAAAATGGAATCCATATGACGACACTTTTAACGTTATTGAATCCAACATCGATGATATTCTAGAATATTTAAATATTTGTAGTTTTCTTTTATGGTTTAAAAGATATCATTACGTCTCATACTTTGAAATACTCTTGAATAAATTATCTTTATTTTTCTTGGTAATTTTTTTCTTTAAAAAGACACTTTCGCGTGTAAACAAATATGGTAATAGAAAATTTAAGGATAATTGCATACAGCATATTTGAAAATAGTTTTTTAAAGTCAAAGTTGTGGAAAGTGATACAAAGTTATCCATATCATTGTTTGTAATGTATTAATATTTAAGATAAAGTAGTGTCCGACTTTATTATCGGAATATAAATCGACCCTTCGATTTTCTTGCAATTTTAAGATTTTAAATGTTTGTTTATAAATCGTTGTTAGAGGGTAAGTTTTTTTTAAATAAATATTCTGAAATTTAAAAGTATACTATTCTCTTATTTATTACTAAGTTAATCGAGAAAAATGATTTGCGATCGTTCAGTGGTCAAACTGAGATAAAACTGACCTTCCCCCTAGGTGGGGTACCCCTACATAATCAATCTGAAACAATGTTATAATATTAACAATGATAGTTTTTTTTTATAAAACTCCCTAACAATGCATTAAGTGCAGAAAGATTATTTTTAATTGTTAAGACAGTGTTTAAAAGTGACATACTGCCAAATATCTGTAGTTAGCTTTAATCAAAATTTTGTTATTGGCTCTAATGTTGGTTTGGCATTGATTAAGTTGAGTCTGGTGGCTCCAGATTTTTTATAATAACTTTATAACTTTCTATATGTTAAGCTTATTTTTATAATGTAAAGATTTTTTTATTCCTGTGCTCATATTAGTTTTAAAAAAAGTAGTTCTACCTAATAGAATTTTATAAGATTAAATCTATTTCAGGGTATTTGATATTTTGAAAGTAATAATATTTTAGGACAATAATTTTTTTCTGAATTTCTTTTAAAAATATTTTACCCTTCATGTTTTAATTCCATTTACACATTTATAATTATGTTTAATACTTAAAGTNTAAAGTAAATTGCCTTTCTATTCTCTTAACACGCATGGATATCTTTTTATACAATTGATGTAAATTTAAGGATAAAATATTTCAATTGAATGCTTTGTTTAATGTAGGGAAACTTTGCATGGACAGTTTGATT